GAAATAATTCCTGTTCAACTTCAAATGACTCTTCTTGAGTTGTCACAGTTGCTACTGGGACCCTTTAAGCAGGCATTTTCCGTGTTTTTTTCGGTACTGACTAGTTTAATCGAGATGGTTCTGCCCATATATATAATAATAAACTCATGATTTTATTAAATTTTTAATTTTACATTTTAATTTTACATTATAATTTTATAATTTTACATTCAGTTCACAGATATCGTATAAGACCACAGTGCACAAAGAAATATAAATGTCACCTTTTTAATAAGGAGAAAAAAATCCCAGCATAAACACTACAATACCGAAAATCAAAGCTCCATTTTCTTTTGGTATCCAAGCAACAAAACAACCGTACAAACATTATAAACCTTTCACCAATTTCCAGCGACCTGCCCACGTTTTTTCGCATGTCTTCTGTTTTGAAATGTTCTGAGCACAAAGAAGTTGATTTTGTGATGAAGAATCCGTCCTTTGCATGCTGGCGATTCAGGAGATTGCACCATCTGATTCGCTGCTGGAAGTCATTCGGAAACGAGAAGAAATGCAGACCTGTTGGATTGCCTGTTGTGTCATAATAGCTATTAGCACAACCAAAAAGCGGCACAGTGTCTTCCTCTTCTTTTCGAAGAAGAAGGAGGAATATCCTGCGTAGGGAAAGTATCGTTCATTGTCGAAATATCTCGATGAAAAGGACAGCACCACCACATTTCACTAAACCCTCACTAGAACTCGCAACGCGACTCAACACTAACCTCGCTATTATGTTTGCGCGGTTACACATCCAATATGGCGCCGGTAACTGTAAAAAGGGCTATTGGTAGAGCGCTGCACTAGTATCGCAGAGGTCAGTGGTTCGAGTCCCGTACAGGCCTAATTTTTTTCAGGTCTGATTTTTGCTATTGCATAAATAGCGCTATATACAATTTATAAATGAAACCCTCAGCGTCCTGCAAAATGGGCTGTGGTTGAATCTTGAAGGAGTCCCTTGAGCAGATCACAAAGTGGGCGGCGAAGCGTTCTACTCACTCTGGCTCCTGACCCTCCTTGTCCCAGTCTGTTCATAATTTAGGTCCCAAACAGCTCCTTTCCAGAATGTCGTTTCAGACATAACGATGCCGATTTAGCCATTAAATTTCATTTGCTTTGACAATATATTGACCAAAATTGGCCACAAAATAGGGGCCAATTTTCACTCTCTCTAAGGTACGAAATGGCTCCAGAAGGGCTAATTTGGCCATCCAATCGTACCATTTCGACCCCTTTAAAAGCCAAAACTACCCCTAATTTGTTCAAAACAGCCTCATCATGTAGTCGTTTCAGCTACACCATACAGAGCTATTTACTAGGGCCAAAACAACTCTTTTCCAGAGGGGCTAAATTAACCCCAATGATAGGAATCTGTTTTACTCGCCGAAACGGCCGGCCCTATTTTGGGGGCTGAAACAAATCCTTTCGATTTACAGTGTATGCATTTCCAATCTGTCCGTTTTTAGAAAATTCTGCCTTCTGTGACCATTTCCAAAGAAAGAGAAGTTTTCCCGGGAGAGTGGAAAGAGAGCTACAGACCAGTGAGACCGAGGACTGTTAGAGCAGAGATCACGAAGGGCAAAGCAGGCACAGTTTCCTCCAGCTGTTTACGTACAGCCCAAACCAATGTCTTGCAAAACGAGGAAAGATTATTTTACACGATGACTGTGAGGGGGCCGATGAGTCTCTTAAATCTATGGCCGCAAGAAAAACGGAAGAAAGCGAATTCATGGAAAGAGAGATGATTAGTTAAAGGACTTTCCCATAACTAGACTTTCTGCTACAAGGTCTGGACAGAAAACTAAAGCCTTGGAAAATTTTATTTGAGTCTACCTCACCGCTCCTTGTCATAGCGTTAAAAAAAAAAAACTATTGACAGTAATCTTGTATTGTAGTAAAATATGCACTTGTACTATCAGCGAGTGAGAACATTACGCACCCTACTTCAACCTCATCTACCCACCATAATGAAACAAATCAGAGGGAATCGCTACGTCAGCAGTGTCGTGATTGCAAGTAAGCAAGTTATTTTTGGACTTGCTAGTGTGGAATTTATTAGAAAAGGAAAGTTAAAAGAGTCGTCTTCGCAGTTTTGGCCATGTCGTCAAGATTGGTGACGACCGCTCAGCAAAGGCACGAATGTTGAGCACCACCGTCAACGATTTGTCGCGATAAAAAGGCGTTCTCGAATATGGTTTTAGTGATCGCTAGATAAAACACCTGCAGAGAACCGCCTTGACTAATCCAGCTTAAGGCGGTCGAGTCTATTGAACAATTCTGCTAATGGGTTTGCACGTGTAACGGTGGGAAGTTAGGTATTGTTTGAAAGTAGTTACAAATTAATATCAGAGATCTTGGTATTGCATCTCACTCCGCTACGTCAAAGGATGACTGAATAGGGTTCCAAATAGTAAATAGTTTATATGAAAGATGGAAAGCTTAATATTATTTTAAATTCATCGTAAAAATATCTTGCTGATTACCGTCAGCCGTCAAAGACCTTAAAACTTAACCGTCAGCTGTCAAAATCGGAAAAAAAATTAACCGTCAGCTTCTCACCCCCACCCCCCATGAGACCCTGTTTTAGTAGTCATTCTTGCAGGTCATTAGTATTACTCCAGATCCCTAAAGCCTCGTGACCTTCAAGATATACGCGTTATTAACCAAGCTTGTTCGGTCAAGATGACTGGATATTGGCTGAATTCTCTTTTTGCATTTTTATAGACCTCGACCTCGTCTCGGTCAATAAAAATGCGAAAAAAGAACGAGGCTAATATCCAGCCATCTTGACCGAACAAGCTTGGTTAATAGAAGATTTATTACATTGCACGAAGATTTCGCTTTATTAAGAATTAAGAATGACCTGTTTATTTCGAGAGCCTGGAAAGAAAGCCAACTGTGCTTTTAGCACAACAAATTTACGAGAGTCGTTTCTGCTTTCTTTGTTTTGACTATCTTTTGCCGCTTTTTGCGTTTCTATCCCCGAAATTGTCCAAGAATTGCGAACGTAGTTCTAATTCTATTTTTTTCATGAGTGGGATCAATGCTGGCAATCCCGATTGGGCGAGATGGGCCCATCTTGCCCACTCAGGTAGCCAATCAGAACACAAGATTAATATAATTCGCTTCATCTTGCCAACGGGCGCTGCGAACGATGTAATAAATAGGCGTTAATAACCAAGTGTGAGGTCAAGATGGCTGGATATTTTTGGATTTCTTTTTTTGCATTTTTGTGGACCGAAACGAAGTCGAGTTCCATAAAAATGCTAAAATAAGAACGAGGCTAATACCCAGCCATCTTGTTGAACAAGCTTGGTTAATAGCGGGGCTCCCACGCGCGCTTTGCGCGCGTGGGGCAGAGCCCCATACCCATGGAATATGGTCAACCTCTATTCGTTTGGTTGTCACGTGGCTGACCGAGCGTACGTACGTACGTGCCTTCAGAGTGTACGGGTAGGGTAGGGGAGACTATCCTGAAAACGAAGGGAGGGGTGGCTCAGGCGAGTCTTGGCGAATGCACATCTTTTATGTTATCATTAATATTACGAACTTGGGAGCTCCGCTTTTAGGCGTGGCTAAATCTGTATAGTAAAGTATTTATCATATGGCAAAAAGATTTCGCTTAAGTAAGAATTAAGAATATCTTGTTTACTTCGAGAGCCGAGAAAAAAAGTCAACTGTGTTTGTAGCACAACAAACTCACAAGAGTCGTTTCTGTTTTCTTGGTTTTGACTATCTTTTACTGTTTTTTGCGTTTCCACCGCCGAAATCGGTCCAAGAATTACGAACGTAGTTATAACTGTATTTTTTTCTTGCACGGAATCAATGCGAGCAATCTCTCGGTTAGCCAATCAGAACACAGGATTCGCTTTATCTTGCCCACGGGCGCTGCGAGCGATGTAATAAGGCCTCTTAAAACGTCTTCCTGTTTTAAATTAAGATCATTACTCATCTGTCATGCGTAGTTCATGAATAATTATTCAACGTGCGCGAGTGTGTTGCGACAATTGGATATTGAACCAAGGAATCGTTGCAGTACCGGCTACACATAGACTTGTCTTCACGTGTCTCTGCTATCTCAGGTAAGACCATTTTTGTCTTTTAATTTACCTGTTGAACTCTTCAACAGCAGAAAAAAGCGAAATCCAATATCGCGCGATCCAGCACAAGATTATGACTTGTACCAACAAATGTTATTGTGCAATGAGATAAATATAGTGTAAAAATATAGCTTCATGAAGAGCTTCGATGTAACGAAAATCCCAAAGGCTCTTTTTTGCTTTCATATCAAAGTAATCAGTATTGATGCTGTATCTTGTGGCCTTTTCCGTGTGGCAAGATGGATATTATTGAAACATTACTTTTTTCTTCGAAGAGAATCTAATCTACCCAGCGTACGTTGCGCGTATTCAATTTTGGGCACCAAGAAAATAGCAAAGAAAATATCAAAAGAAATATAATAATCGTAACCGAGAAAACACATGAACGCAGATGGAGTTCATGATTTAAATTACGGGCAAAAGTTAGGTTTGAAATTCTTTTAAACGAACTGAAAGCGAGCGTTATTTGAAATCTTTCCAAACGCAACGAGTGACGATAAATATATTGTACACACTATGCCACACTGTACCACGATGCAACTCTACGTGTAATGATATCAAATTTTTTCTTATCAATTTTCTGAACCTCTTTGTAATCCTACAATTTTCAATAAATATCTATTAGGTGAAATTTATTAAAACAGCTCAGTTGGAATAAATCATCGGCTCACCTAACTAACATCAAACTAACATCAAAAACTTATTCACATAAAAACAGGTAATGCATTGGTTAAGAAAAATCTACCACATGCGACAACATAACCAAAACATTTGCAAACGTCTTAATGCCTTAATGGTGATTGGTCGCACCCAGCTGTCATGTCACGTTATCCACAATCCACACCTATCGCAGAGCCGCGACCACCATGAGACCTCACTTTCCCGGAGCAAGATTGGCGTCTGTCAAATGATGAGCCTAAAGGCTCCTCTGTGGTTCCGGGAGGTATTTGCTAACACATCATATTTGCCAAGTTGCTCGACGAATGTTCTGATGTATTAGACCATGATAATCGATGGTGGTCTCGAGGATATCGAATGATGCAGATTTTTTGAGGTACAGCACGTTAATTTACTCTTGTTATAGAAGTAATATCGATACTCACTCATATTTCGGATATTGTGATGAGTTTAATATGTAACTGACTGTCTCTAGCCATTAAATAGAAACTTAAGTGGCGCATGTGTTCACTCTGATCCACAAGAAAAGGAACAATGCATAGCAGTTCTTAAAACTGATCCATATACGAGAAGCATTATCATCATTTAACAATGCTAGCTACTCTACGCATTGCTTTGTGCAATATATAGGACAGAAATTGTCTCGTACTACTTTGTGCGATATACACGACACAAAATGTGTCAGCCTCTCCATATTTCATTTTCGAATCTTAAACGTGAAAAATCTTGATTTCAATTCGACCTGGTGGGACATCTGGTTACGTACTGTGCGGGTTTTCTTGTTGGGTTCAAAACATGATGTCCTGAAAATCGGTCAGAAATATTGAAGGCGGTAATTCTATCAGTGCCCACTGCAGAGGTCATAGCCGGAATGATTTTTGGTCACTGAAGGCAGATTATGACTAGAAGAGAGATAGCTCGTCACCTGACGCCCACAGATAAGCTTGATCATTTCAAATGTTAGAGAACATTACCGTGCACGTTCTTTCATTTACTGAATTGATCACACATATAGACACACTTCGCTACTCTCAATTGAATAGAAGGGTTGCAACTCGTTATCTATGTTGAATGAAATCCGTTGGATTATGTTTTATCATTTATCATGTGTCACTCTATGGCTCTTCCTTACTGCACATGTGGATACTTGGAAGTCTTAGTACTAGAGAAAATGTTGCTTCACTTTCTTTGTACACATTCGTACCTAGAACATACGAGTTGTTTTTCTAATGAGATGCTGCCTTTGACATAAAATATGCTTAATGCACATACGATTAAAACCGTCTTCCTACGCAATATCCTACGGTGAGATTGTCTTTCACATTGCGGTCACGAGACGGATTTCGGAAGGAAAACCTCAGAAATGTGCAGAACAAAGATCATGCATTGTTGAATTGTTTTCCGCGACCACAGTAGGCCTTACAACAGTAGAAAGCCTATAAACCAAATGTATTCCTTTCCTTTTTTGTCGTAGAAAGATAAAGTGTTTTTTTGTCATAGTCTGTCACGCGATTAATGATTCGTTCTATATTATGAACCTTTGAATTAAGGATGGTTGCATTGAACTGGGGTTCAAAGTGTGATTATTAACGATGAAAAATGACGCGTATGAAAATATATGAACTTCATATATTTCATTGTAACCAAAAATATGACGCCTTGACTCTCCGCACAAGAATCGAAGTCCACTTATCAATTGTCGTTATTGAAGGATGTTAAATGATAAAACGTCTCACTGAATTTGTTTTAACAACATGCCTGTGGCACTACGATCTATTTGCGAAAAATGTTTAGGGCGGAGGTTGCTATTGCTACTTTATGCGCGTTTGAATTGCAGTGTGCATGATTTTGCATTTGTCGTAGAATACAGTGAATCAAAGATCTTCGAGTACGCTGTTCGGGAAAGTTAGACTGATCACAAGCTGCTTTCAATAATGTGCATTTGTAAGTTGAAAGGGTCAGTGTATATGATTGAAGTCAGAGACTGTATTTGAAGGGATTCTAGGTCAGAAAGACTTTCAGAGACCATGTTCTTTTACTGGAATTCTTATCACCCCATGAGTCTTCGAGGATGTGCAAAGACGAAGTTGAGCACTCATATCTTATTAACGAGAAGGTTTAGTATGGTACTCTTAAGCAAACTTACCCGCCATGGTATTTGAACAATTTTGATCTGTGTTTCAGATATGTAAATCATTCCACTCTCATGCCTGTTTTAATACATTTTGTTTATTCCCATTTTCTCAGCTAGTTGTAAATTAAAAATAAGTAAAGGAATTTATCTTTTTTCCCGCATCGGCAGGGATGGATGAATCATCCATATCCCTTAGCCACCTGGAAATTTCGAAATTGGCGCCACTGCAACAAGCTGCAACATCTGACTCCTTATTCGCTTTTGGCACAAAGTTTACGTCACTATTCTTATGTCGATTTCCATCAATTCTATCCAATTAAATTACAGTCTTGGGTTAGTCCCTTTCTCGAACATGTCCAAGCATGCCCCAAAGTAAGTAGGTCTTATGCCATAATAAATCTGGTCTGAATCTCTTCGAAATGCTAAGATTCTTTCCTACTATGTTGTAAAACCATTATACACTGGATGTTTTTTAAATTTTTGGAGTATAATGATGTTTATTATATCACTTGCGTTGTTCTTAACTGAGATTTGGCTTGTTTTATAGCAATAAACATAGCATTGAGCCACCTTTAAAAGCCAGTGAACCGCCAAGTGCAAAGCTGTCAGATATCAAAGTGCTGGAATTTCGTTTCGAAGCAGACCGTTTTGTTTTGTAATCGTAGAATTTAATTTTCGAGGGCTGATACATTGAATTAACAAGAAAGTGATAAAAGCGAATGAACGGTAAACCTAGACGTCTTTCAATATGACAGTTTCTGGCCCGGAATGCTGTATAGATAAAAGACAACTCGTTAATAGAATAGATACTCATCATTATTACCTCGTGTTAAGGCCTGTCACATAAATATGCCGCTCCTGTGGGCTTGCCACAATCGTTCTGATTTGGAGCCTCTGTCTTGTTAATGATGTTATAGAGTTTTATGAAGTTGTAGAGTTAACTTTCTTGTGTCCTGGCAAAACATGGGAAAGTTAACTCTAGAACCTAGAACTGTTCAAATGTTGCTTTGAAGTTCATGACATGATCCAAGTCGTTGAAAGAATTAAAGTTTGGATCTAGAGGTTTACTGAGCACCTCCGCTGCCTGTGAGCAATCTTTGCCGGGTTTTGTATAGAGACTGACAGACCCTGAGATTTTCGGAGTTGTTCGCAAGTGCTCATGGATATTTGTGTTTTTGTATTTTCTTGCTAAATGGGGTGTTTCAAATGGATAATTAGAAAGTCCATTTGAAGTGAGGCAGGACTCTTGACTTATAAATCAATCTCTTGGGGTAGTATTTCCGTAGAAAAATATATCTTTGGCTTCTAAAATGTTAGCCCTATCAGGACAGTCCAAAAGTGTTATGAAAATGGTAGATTAGGTGGATATACGTGCAAAATGCTTACAGATCTAACTTTCCTGTCAAAAACTTTAAAACTTTTTCAAGACCTTTGGGTATACACTTTTTCACCGCACTTCAGGTATACTTCCGGAGGAAAGCGAGAACCAGAATTACGTCTGTGGAAGAAATTCAGTTCGATTCGTTCGTCAATTTTTTCTGCTGAAATCTTCTACAGCAAAAGAGGAAAAAATTTGCAGGCAGCCGCCAACGTGGGTGGTGACGCAAGATTGTGTTCAAAAAAGTAAAGCTTCTTTTCTCGCCCGGCTTCGTGCTGTTCGCTCTCGTGATTACGTGCATGCCTCCGAAATCTCGCATGTAGCAACACTCTTATAGAAAAAAAGCAATGTCTCTGATGCACTCGCTACACGCGTGTGAGTTGTTCAAAACTCAATTCTAGTGGGGCATTTTTTCTCGTCTGTTTCATTTGATTTAGAGTTAAAACCCTGACCGTCTTCCAACTGATACGAATGCCCTAACTACCTAGTACGCGAAAGGAACCGTTTCACTACGGTCACATCAATTATACTCGAAACTTTTGGGCAATATGCTTTGAGAGTCTCCCCTGAAAAAAGGCATTTGAAGAAATCTATGCTAAAAAATTTCCATCATGCGCCATGACGTAGTTCTAAAATGATAGCCTGAAATATGAATCTATTTCGTTAAGAATTTTAGTATGCCAGCATTATTCTCGATGCTCTGAATATAGCATTATCCCCAAAATAATGCCAGTGTATTTATCGGACCCTAATCAGTACCAAGATACCATTCGTTAGAAAAATTCGAAGGGTACGATTTACACTGCAACGATTTCGATTACTTTCCAAGATTGTGCAACAAACATCGGATTGTAAACAGTGTTAGGTTTTCGTAGCGTCTCAACTACGTGGCAACATAATTATCCCTCTTTTCTCCGTGGTAGAGGCATGTGCGGCCATACGTGAAAAAAATTAATGTTGAAAAAAATGAGATATTTAAGCATGCGGATAACAACTTAAAATCAACCTAACAACGAACAAGAATCCAGTTAATTGGCTATTCAGAGGTGGCTCATTTTATTAAGGAATTATATCATAACAACGGAATTTGATGAAAAAAAGCGGCTTTTTACAATAAAGCCCCGTGAAACCTTAACTCTTCAGAGCTGTTGAATTCCCTCGTACATACGGACAATAATGGAGCAACAAAACAAATCTAGTGTTGCCGGCCTGTCAGGGGAGGAAAAATGATATTTTTGAAAGGACGGCTTCTTCGCGCAATTCTGCCTTCGCCTGAGATAGATTTGGGCGAAATAATTTCAATTCAGTGCAAGTGAACCCTACTTTTTTCTCGTACAAGGTCGCATTTGTATCACACTTTCCCAGATACTTGTTCCCAGTTCACGGGACGGTTTGCAGGTTTTGTAAGTCAAACTGCGCATGTACACTAACTTCGCATGACTTGAATCTGGTGTACGATCTGGAAAAGGTTGAACAGAAGTGGAGAGGTAAGTGAAACAGAAAATCCGTACGTTGTCCTTAAATGGAAACCAACTCCTTTAGATTTTGGCTCTAATATGTATTAGGTTCAACGTTTCCAGCCGTTCTGTTTTTATGTGGCTTGAGCTTCAAAGCAGTTGTCATTGTTCGTCTCTCCCGAAGAATTGTCGACACGTTTTCATTTACATATTATGTTTTTAATGGCAGCAAACAACGTGGGAACTCTTATTTTCTTCAAATTTTATCACAAATAGACCAGAACGTTTTGGTCTGAACTATCTGTATCAATCGAGCTTTTCTCTCGTCTTTTATTTTGATTCCTCCAGTGATGAACTCGTCTGTTATCATAATTTACTGTTAATTAAACGCACGAGAAACTAAGTTA